AATCTTGAATACTTTCAAGCAGCACAATGAGAGCAAAACATTTTTCAGCGTGTAAAAATCTTATATATATATATATATATATATATAAGGCAGTTGAGTGCTTAAGGGCGTTTTAATCATAGAAATGTGTTTAATGAAGTTGATTTGTCCTTCAGAGGCAGTTTGGTTATAAAAATTATATTTATGCTGATATGGGACAATTTCTGTCAATATACATTAACGGTGGTGTTTGGGACGTTTTGCAAAGTTATGATAAATTTAAAAAAAATACTAAAAAGTCATGATGAGTTTTAAACAATTTCCCTAACTTGACATTTTATTCATTAAGATAAAGTCGTTCAGTACAGCAACTTCAGCTGTTATCAAATGACCCCTTAAAAGAGAGACTCCTCTTTACAATAGGGATAATGCTAGAGGATTTCAATAGGGTGGTCTAGCCTTCTCTTCTCTGTCCCTTTTACTTATTTCATCTTTTTCTTTAATTCTTCTTTTCGGTCATTATCTTTTCCACCTTCTAGATGCAATGCACTGTCCCTAGCAACTCTATATCCCATAGAGTGTATTGGATTCTTCTCTTACAGAGTCCACTAGTCAAAAGCCACAAAGATTTGTCCTCCCTTAAACCAACAAAACAAAATGGTTGAAACCGTCAAAGGGCTGAAAATTTGCCAACTTAGGAATGGCATGCTGGTAAAGCTAGACACAACCTTGGATTTGAGCCGGAGTCTGTGCTCCTCCTAGTCTAATATGTCCTAATTGAAAGTGTAATCCTGTTGTGAAAAATGCATCAGATCAGAATTTACATGTTTCATATATTCTGAGGAGTTAGCAAAATGGAAACACAGAAACAAGGACAGACTAGATGAACAAGAGCACGACCCTGAATCAAATCAAATACCCCTCTCCTTGTAGCCAGAAGAAAAGAAACTGCAATCCAGAGTCGGGCCCAATATGCATCTCCTTAATAATGGTCTCTAGCAGAATTGAAGCTTGTTCTTAGATTAAATTGCTTAGTTACTTCTGGTTTATATCCAACCCAATAGTCATTTTGCACTCGAAAGATCCAGTCCATGCTAGGTGGACAACATTCAACATTGAGTCTCCATCTTGTCTCTGCATAGAATAGAAGCCCATTAATCCAATTTAGCCCATTGTTAGTCTAACTTAGCCCATTGATGATGGTGCTACAAGTGGATGTACTTTCAGCATCAACCGCCCAAGTTAGTGAAGGATGTTTATTGCCAAGATCACCATCATCATATCCATTTTACGTGTATGGACCACCAAATGAATGGAAAAATCTATGCTGCCAGAAAGACATGATACCAAAAGAGCTTTGAGCAATCAAATCCCCCTGGGTGAATTTGATAAAAAAAAACACATGATTGGTTAACATTTTTACGATACCAGTTTTCCGGTATCATAATAGAAGTTTTAATAAAAATAATGGATATGACACTGAACAGAAAAGAATGGTGAAATAGGATTCATGTAATTGATCTCATATGGTTCAGACAAGGCTTAGTTGAGTTGAGCATTTTCTTTCTATGATTTAGATACCAGCAGTAATAGAGTGAAACTTATGAGCATTTTCCACACCAAGAATCAATTCAATTGAATGAACTGACCAACTACAAGATTGAATTATCTTTTTAATGGTCGGAAAATAAAGACTCTATTCTCCTACATAAGATCTAAATATGCTTCAGTTTGAAAAGATCTTGAACCAGTTGACTCAAAGAAAGTAGGCACAGATATTTTTGACTTAATGTAGGAGATTTGCTCAACTAAAAAACAGCCTGGTTGGATGCCTCCAATCATCAAATAAATGCATCCTTTTCTATAAGAATAAAATCTTTATTTTCTAACCATTCAAAATTGATTCTATCTTGAAGTTGGTTAATCCATCCGATTGGATTGATATTTAAGGGTTCGACTATGATTATCAAAAAGACAGCCAACTGAGTGGTGACTCAGTTGGTACATTATCTGTGTGGAGATATGGATTTAATCTACTGTACTGTGCCCAAGAAAGAAAAAAGAATTACGGCACCTATGGGGAGTTCAGGAGTATAATTAAATACCAATATATATATATATATATGGTACCAAAAAAACTTATATCAAATCCTTTCGATTATCATGTCTTTCTAGCATCATATTTCCTGTAAAAAAAATATATCTTTGTTGTATTGTGTTCCTCAACACCGTTTGTAGATTACCAATGCTGCCCCCACTTAAGAATAGGGGTGCAACTTGGGTGAGCTTGGGTTGAGCATTAGTTAATCATTGAATGGGTCCAGTCCAAGGGCCCAGGTCTGATGCAATGTAAGTTCTTCAATGCTGGTATTAGGCTTGCAACCCTAGTCAAGAGAGTATTCGTTCTCATGAAGTGCTTGTTGAAAAAAGAGGATTGCAAACCCTATTGGCAATGATATTTGAGAATTTGTGACAGATCAATTTAACAATATTCACTTATTGATCTGACCCATTGAAATGGTATGCCAAATATAATTTTTATTTGACCATCTATATCTATATTACTATTAAAAAATAGGAATAAGTTTAGAACTTTTATTTGACTAAAATATTCCTATTTTTTAACTTGGTTTCTCTCTAATTGTGAGGGTAGAAAATATAATTTAAATTATTACTTTTCATATTATGTAATTTTCTTTCATTAAGGCTTATATTTAAATATATTAATTCCTATCATCTTTAATTAAATGTTTTTCTTTACTAAATTGCCCTTATCTTTTAATTTGGTCAATCTCTAATTGTGAAGGAAGAAAATATAATCTGAACTACTTTTACCCTATTCAATTCCTTTTGGTTAAATCTTATATTTAAAGTATTAATTCCTATTCTCTCTCAATAAATCCTATATTTGAACTAATTTTTTTACTAATAAATCCTATAATACAATTGCTTGATATTATTATTATCACCATCATCTAAAATTGCCATATTTTGTAAGTACTCACTTACTAGTATAATATAACTAGCTTTCAATCCAGGCTATCCTTGTCTTAGGGATGCAACTTGGGCAGGTTTGGGTCAGGTTAAGACCTAATCATAAGAGACCTTGATCTTGGGCCCAGGCCCAGACCAGCCCAAGTTTTCCAACCTAGCTAAACTTATCTCAACTCAGACTGGATTTGGGTAGTTTGTCAGGTTTGAAAGGTTTCTTACTCATGTTTTGTGCTTCTACCTTTTATTTGAGATTAATAAATGAATTTAGGCATTGAATTAGATAAAAACATATATGAGCGCCGGATATACATAATTGTGTATATAAATATGCAAAATATATTTTAGGAAGTAAGGTAGGTTCAAATATGATTGAGCTAGGATTGAAACCCGAACCCATCCCAAGTTTAGATAAAGTTCAAGTTTTCAGACCTAGGCCCAATCAAGAGTATAAGAATTAAGTGCAACCCATGCAAAATCTTGGGTTGGGTCCTGTTAGGTTGAGGTTGGGCCTTCACTTGCAGCCTCAGACTTGTTCAAATGACATGCAAAATTGATATGGACGTTCTTGGCCCATCAAATGATGTGTTAAAATGAACTCAGGGTCCGTTTGGTTTGCAGGAATAGGGGTCTAGAAATGGAATCGGAATGGGCTATTCCGATTCCAACTGTTTGAATCGGAATGGGCTATTCCGATTCAAATGATGTGTTAAAATGAACTCAGGGTCCATTTGGTTTGCAGGAATAGGGGTCTGGAAATGGAATCGGAATCCTATTACCATTCCAACTGTTAGCCCCCTTACTTGGTAGTGTGTGTATTCCTACCAGTAAGTAAGTGATTGTCATTTTAAACTTATTCTTTATGTGACTTAGCCCTCTGTTTACTGTTATTTGTAAATTGTAAGCAAGGCACAAAATACAAAACCCTGTGTGGTTATCATCATCATAGTGTAGGATTGTTCAATCTTGGGAGGAGGGGGATTTTAGAGCATTTTGTGAGACATTTACTCCAACATCGATTGTTAATCTCTGTCATATGATTAGTGGGAATTCCATGATGACCTAAATTACAAATTACATTCATCATGCCTTATAAAATCGACATGCCCAAAAAAACATAACAGAGACGTGGAATTTTAATAAAGAAGCTTCACATTACAACAATTGTAAAAGTAAAGCTCCCTTCCTCAATTGCTACTCTAATCCGTCGCCCACCCATTCGATTGGCCTCGGTTTTGTAAACGATTCTTACTATCAAGTCAAGGGAGGAGTTTTTATCCCTTTCCCACCTATGCAATTACTTAAATTCATTAGGATTTTGCCATGAGGCGGACAATTATCTTGGTATTTGGGATTTTGCTTGTGAGGCACTGAAGACCATGTTTGGAAATGCTTGTAACACCCAACTCTTTTAAGTACTTAAATAAGCGTTTGTGACTATTTTGTCCTTCATTTTCTTTCAAATTTTTAAAATAGATCCTTATAAAAGTACTTTTATGAAATAACTTTTATAAAAAAACTTTTACGAAAGCACTTTATAAAAATATTTTTTACAAAAGCACTTTTATGAAAGCATTTTAATAAAAGTATTTTTACAAAAGTGCTTTTATAAAATTCATCTAGGAATAATTTTATAAGTGATATTTTAAAATTCAACCAGAGATAATTTTGGAAGAAAAAAAATTGAACAAGTACTTATTATATATAAGCACTTGAAAAAAGCTGAAAATTTAAACTTAAAAAATAAACACTTATTTTGGGTTTATTTCTCAAACACCAATAAATGCCTAATGGTATAGTCCCAACCCAACTAAGCACTCCCAAACATGGCCTAAATCCTTAACAGGAAGTATGATAAAAAGATGAACGGGACAGCGACTGCGCTGCGAGGCAAAGAAAGGTAATACAATTGTGCTAATGTCCACGGTGCTTCTAATGGTGTGCAATGAATGGTCTTATTCCTAAGATAACTTTGTGATATAACAATAAATAGGAAGCCTATTTTGACATATTTATTCTAGTCACAAAAGTATTCAAACAGAGAATAAGAAATGCACCATCAATTCAACAGTTATTATAAATAGGCAGCCAAAAAAAAAAAAAGAAAAAGAAAAAAAAACTGTTCCAGTCTATTTACCAAGAACAGTCGAACATTCAACCCAAGAAAGAAAACACAACAGTTCCATCCTACTTGCTAAGCTATATGATTCATAACAACACATAAGAGGTGAATATTTCTAAAGGCAAATGTGTTTTACATATTCACGAAAAAACAAACAAATGTAGGTAAATTCCTTTGAGTCAGGTAATGAAAGCTTGGAAGCTGAAGATATACTAGAGACAACCAAGCAGAAGAGAGTCATCCATGATTTCTATTCAGAGTTGGAACCAGGGAGCTTAATCCACTGAAACTGAAGTTCCACTTCACCTCTTTCCACATTTTTCAGTCTCACACACACATCTTGGATAACCTTTCCATCTTGCCAGACAATACAGCTCTCTTCAGCAAGGCAGTTTTGCCTGCTGGGTAGTTCTCTCGTTATTACTGTACCACTTGGATAATTTCTCAAGTCCATCTTTACAGCTTCCAAAAATGGCCTTATGTCAAGCTCTGCTTGTCCCATTTTGTCATCCAGGGAGAAAGTGTCCTTGTCATATACCGTCTGCAATACTCAAAAATGTTTCTAAGCACATTCAATGGGCCTAAAATTTTGCAGTAACTTTCATATATAATGAAACAGAAACACTGCTTGACTTGCAAGGAAGCACGGGGAAAGGTAACTTGTGCTTTTGTACAGATCTCCCTACATTATATTCACAGCATGAGTAAAAAATAAAATAAAATTAGTCAGTGTTGTGGCCATGGAGGAATACCCACAGCATTATCAGTGGATATTCAAAACCTAGACTTCCCAAATATCACAATCAGCTCCTAGTTCTTTTTTCCATGCCCATTTTACCCCCTTGAGGACATACAGTATTTTTTGCAAGTTACATTCAATGATTTGATATAATACATCCATAATTGTCTACCATCATCAAAACATTTTATGACTTGGATATGGAAGAAGAGAATCAACAAGTTGGAAGTCCAAAAGAATACTTACAAGCTTGACTGGAAGTTTGGGATCTGACACAGAAAGAGTTAAATCTTCATTCCACTCAGGATTGATATTCTTTTTCACTACACGAGTTTTCAGTTTCTGCACCAGATTTAAAAACATTTGTTTAACAACAATACTGACCAATATCACCAAAAATTTAATAATTGAATTTCAAGCAAGAAGCCAAGAATAAGTTAGAAAAGAAGTGACTATTAAGTCAAACGCTGCATCGCTATCCATGTCATGATCAAGTATAATCCACTACGGATGCTTAACCTACTCGTAAAAGATGTAACAATTCAAAGCTGAGCAGATAGATTTAGAGAGAGAGAGAGAGAGAGTAGCAAAATCATTGAGTGTGGAGGTGATATTTAATTGGGTGAGGATAGATGCCATTGCTTTTGCTGACGCACTAGCTAAACAAGGGGTGGGAAGGAAGATATTGTTTTGGGCTATGTTGTAAATTGAATCTATTGGGGAGGGCTAAGAGAGTTTATCTCTCCCCTTCTTCATCTTTGTACTTAGTTATCCTTTTTTAATAAAATTGCTTTCTGTTATTGATCAACAAAAAAAATAGATATGAAAAGCAAAAGATTACTCTAATGACATCAATTTCATCCTTCAACCCCCCAAAATTGATCAACTTTTCTTAATATTGCAAGTCCAAAGTGATAGACATGGTTCAACAGAACCATTGAAGTCTTAACATAAAATGAATTGTGTAACACAGGACTGGTGCCTCCATTTTGAATTGAGTATTCTAAGAACTAAACTTATAGACACTGTCAATGAAAAAATAAATAAGATCTGCTTAATATTATTGATCATGCTTCCAAAGCAAACCAAAACAAGTGTCAAATGTTGATAACCCATCTTATTTGAGTAACCTGAGGTAATAATTAGATACACTTAGTAAGAGAATCAAGCAGAATCCCTCTTCCATTCATGAAGAAGATACTCTATGTTGGCCTCACAACTCAAGCTTCTTTCTACATACATGGAAACAATAGAAAAGAACAGCCAATCTCAACATGTCACCAATATTTCTCACCCACATCATCTCCTCATCTTTTTTTTGATAAATGCCCACATCATCTCTTCATTACCTATCAATGTAAAATCCAAAATAGTATGGAATACCACAAAACTCCATTGATTAATATTTCTACTTTACTGATTACGTAGATAATGTTTTGATGAAACTAACAATGTGAGAATGCTTCAAGTCATCATTCTTGCTCAGAACATTGACCACATTTTTGTTAGGGAAAATTCCTTATTAGTATCTTGTACTTTGTGCCTAGTGCCACTTTGGTCCCCAAACTTTAAAATGCGGCAATTCAATACCTGTCATTAATCAGTTGTTAACCTGCCATTAAGTGACATTTGAAAAGGACACAAATGCCCTTCAAGTGTCATTTAATTTTCTTTATCAACCATCTAAACATTGACAAAAATTTAACAGTCCTAAATCTTTGCTTCTTCCATTCAAGAAAGTTGAGGTTCCGTTTTTTTTTTTTTTTCTTTTCTTTTGTATGTTTTTTCTTTTTTTTGGGCATTCTAGTGACCCAAACTTTCTTCAATAGAAGAGGCAAGGATTTTGGACTATTAATTTTTTGTCAATGTTTGGATAGTTGATAAAGAAAATTAGATAACATTCAAAGGGCATTTGTATCTTTTTAAAATGTCACTTAACAATTGATCAACAGCTAGTTAACGGCAGGTACTAAATTGCCACATTTTAAAAGTTTGGGTACTGAATTGTCATATTTTAAAGTTCAGGGACCAAAGTGGCACTAGACCCAAAGTACAGGATACTAATCCGGAATTTTCCCTTTTTGTTACTAGGGACAGAGCCCGCTATTAGGAGGAAAAACGTCCACACTACACAGTGTTTGACATTAAAGATAGCGTTGAGGTTTCTGTGCCATGAACCACAAGGCACTGCATGGTCCATCCAATAATTGTTAAAGCGGCAAGGGTTAGTTCACTGACTAACAAATACTTACAATCACCCGGCAGAATCAACTATATATTGCAGAACAAAGATCAACCTGCATATATTTAATTGATTTTCTCCACCCACTTTCAGGATTCTAAAGATGAACCGCTAGTTTCATACTGCAGTACAGAGCATTAAGTTGAATAACTTGAAAGTTCCTAAAATTGACAAAAGAGGATTCTAATTTACTCAAGCACTAAACAGATGTTTCACAGGTAGGATTAAATAAGATTACTAAAAAGAAAAAAAAAAGAAGAATTAAAGACCAAAAAAAAACATGTGGGAGAAAAAGAAATCAAAGCCCAAGATGAACAGAGGCAAAAACTACAAGAAAAAAGGATCATTGGACATCAAACTTTGGGAAGAGAATGAAATTAATTATCAGAGAGATTTTATTCGAGTTTAGCCACCTCTTGTCCTATGCCACAATAAAAGGTTTGATTTCATTCACAATCTTTAATAGAACAATAGTTGTTATTAACAGAGCTTCTGCTCCAAGTCCCATATATTAGTCAAAGAAAGCAAGTTCCCCATAAACAATTTTCATCTCCTAAGAAATAGACAAAATAAGAAGAAATCTAGAGGTCTTTTTTTCGTAGCAAAACATCCAGCAAAAGAATTACAAGTCCATTTTTAATCCCCTGCCTTTCAATTGTATAAACTATGCTTAGAATTCGAATATATGCGAGAGAGAAAGAGAGAGAGAGAGGGAGAAAAGAGGGTAAACCAAAATCCAGCAAAGTCTTCCATCAAACATCGAATTAACCAATCTCAATAGCTCAGAAGAGCAAAAAATATATTTATATGAATTGAAATGCATGATCAAAGATCAAAGACTACAAACCCATGTCGACATACACACAGAAAGAAATATCAAAAGAGAGAAAACCAAGACAATGATCAAAACGATCAAGAAGCAGACCTGTTTACCCATTTTAATAACAAGGTAGGGATCACTGCTCCGGACATCCCGGACGGCAAGATTAACACCACGCTTAACGCGGATTCTGAGAAGACCCAACAGGTTATCCATCAACGACTATGAAGTAGAGGGAGACTGCGAACTATGAACCGGTGAATCCTTCCATCTCACGAGCCCTTCTCTCTATTTATCTTTCCAAGCACAGGGCACAGTAACGCAATAACAGCGTAAATTATTTAAACAATTTAACATAAAAACTAAATTGGTAAGAACCCCACGCCACCTCAAACAAAAGACGAACTGGTAAGAACCCACCTCATAAAACCATGCGTTCCATCTGTTCACCGCCACCTGCGAGTTCAGTCAACCTCAATACTTAATCGAAGGACTCGTCCCGTTTCGGGTCTCTATTTCGAATCCTTTTCTCAATTCTCCTCTTGCCGAAGCATTTTGTCTGGACACTCACTGGTCTTCCTTTATCCTCGATATTACATTTAATGTATTTTTGGAAGACTGGGTTTTGCTTCTCTGGAAATCAGGTTCCTTTAATGGCTCTCATTCAAATTCGTCGGGTTTGACCAGAGACTTCAAATCCGTGAAAATCGCTAAAATTTTGCCACGTGGCGAAAAGGATAAAACACTTTTATTACGACATAATTTTTTTGGAATCAGCACCAAAACCGTGAAATCAAAAACTTCTATTGTGGGCCACAGCAATACATGATTATCTAATGCCATGATTCATGGTTTTAGAGACAAAACCCGGAAGATTCTTCGATATTCCGAGTTTGGACACTTTGGTGGTGACTCATGGGTCCCACTCAGCGGTGACGGCGTGTGGGCCGCGGAAGATGTCATGACTCGTTTGTGCACGACGGTACCCGATTACCTGACGAGTCGGGATCTCCTGCACTTCCCTTCGTGTGAGACGGGAGACTGGATCTGCTCCTCACACCGCCGCACAGGCGCCTCACTATTTGTGAGGAGCAGATCCCTTCTCGTGAGACGGGGTGCACTTCCATTTACGGTTTTACACGTCATTCATCTACAACTACGTCTCATATGGGTGTCATTAAATGGTTGATTGCTCCTTTCAAAATATCTTTATTTATTGGATAAATCTCTTAACCTACCTGAAATTGACTAACTCCACCTTACTTTATTAGTTATCTATTGTCTTAAAATTCCCTCATTTCCTAATAATTTTTTAAAACCTTCCTTAATTTTTTGTCACACTAGGTTTACGCATACATCACGTGAGTGATAATTATTATAAAATTTTTAAAATATTTTTAATATTTACCACCACTGTTAAAAGTTGTTAAAAGTTGCAGCGGTTGCAATGATTTTGATATCATCATCGCAAGTAATAGCGGCCACACAGTCGCCAGTTCTACCCTCTTTCCTTTTTGCCAACCTAGAACTAAACTCTCTCTGCAATGGACATTCTCAGAAACCTTCTCATTGAATGATGAATTGTAGTTGGCCGACAACCATCAACGTCAGAAAATTCAGTCCTCAACGTCGCCGATCTCACAATTGAACGGTTGAGGTTCATCCAAGAAGATAGAGCAAACAAACTACAAGTGACAAGTAATCCTCAATTTGAGTTTATTGAATAAATCCAAGTAGGTAATTAAGATTGTCGTAATGTGGAAGTTTGATTCTATTAAGATTGTCACAATTTGATTTCTCCTCAATGTGGAAGTCCGATTCTAATTTTTGGGTAGATTATTTATCGTTGCTTGGTCTTGACCCATTTTTCTTCTTTTTTGTTTTCTTTTACTTCTTCATCTGCTCATGTAATTTCAAGAGGGGAGAGGTCCCAATTGAAAGTCAAAGCAAGCTAAGCACTTCAAAAAGTGATTTAATAAATCTCCCAACAACCTTGTAACCTTTTTTGACAAGATAGGCATGATAGGTGCTTCCTTTCTTGATCGGTGATGTTACAATCAGTGATAAAACTTTACCGACTCCCATGCATCAATGAGTGATGGTGACCCAAAAAATAAGAGCATGATAAATCCATTGGCTAAATGAGGTTCACTCACTAAAAGAGCTAGGATTTTTTTTTTAATGGTTTTCCCGTCTTTCCTCTCCATCTGATTCAAATTGAGCATTCAAACCTGTTTTATTTCTTTCTTTTATTTTATTTTTTTACATTGAAAATGAGAGAAAAACTGGATTGGGCCCAAAAATGGACCTGCGTCTTCTTCAACAAAAGGTGCACCTCAGTCCTCAGACCGATTTGGGTTGTATTCGGGTCCATAAGAATGAGATACCTCCAGATCCATTTTAAAAATTAAAAAATAAAAAAGAGATACTTTTAGAAAAAACACTTTCGATGTGACTTTACTTAAATGGTTTATCCTATAGTGGGCCTGGGCCCTGGTTCCTTAGTAAGGCAGTAGCAGTTAGCACTAAGCAATTAATGAGGCCAGCCTGTGTCCCATACCCTAGATCTAGTTCAAAACAATAGCAATCATGTTGCCAAACAACTCCTTAACGGGCATACATTTTTTATAGAAAAAAGGGTTTTTCGGGATTTAGTTCTAGACGGATTGGGTAATGGGTAGGTCCATGGCTCACATAACTTTAGGCTTTCAATGTTCATACAGGTGCCCTTCAGGATCAGAAACCTAATTTGTGGGGCCTGATTAGGTAGAACGTGAATCTAGATTCTAGAACATTAATTGATAAATGGGTTGTCAAATACCTGATACTTTCCCTCGAATTATTACTATACTTTTATTGGGGTGGATAAAGGTTGGGATATCTCAAGGGCCCACTCATTTAGGCCGTTAGCATCAGAAAATGTTGAAGAGAAGGGAGGCTGCTGTCTCAACATTTGAAAATTGTTCTGTTTGGATAGATATTTAGGCTGTGTTTGGTTTGAAGGAAAAGGCAGGGAAAAGAAGGGAAAGGGACATCTAATCAGCCCCTATAAAATTGTCTCCCATAACGTATCACAGCACATTCCCATCGTGTATTGGTAATATCTCCCAATGATAATGTTATCATTAGAAGATTTCTAATGTTCCCAATACAAGACAGAGATGTGCGAACATTGTAAGGGGCTGATTTGAACTTAAGAAAAAATAGAAAAACTTTTACAAATTTTATATAGGTTTCTCTGTCTTTTTCTTTAAACCAAAGATAGCCTTAAAGATAAAATGATGCTTCTGTGTTTTCATCATTTCATGAAGACTTTTTCTAGTGAATTAGAACCATTAGTTCCATTCCACTTTAAGCCACCATTAAGTGGTATACTTTTTCTTGCTTTTATAAATTAACTTTTAAGGCAAACAGACTTTTAAATTGAGAGGCACTTGTCTGGCTTTTGATTTGTCAAGTGAAGTGACTAACCTTGAGACTTTTTCAAACCACTTCTACCGAGGCTAGTTTTTCTTTCAGTAATGAACATCAAGTCTTTAGCATTTTTTCTACAAAGTTATTGCCCCAATCACGTTGCAAAGCTTATCAGCCCAAGATATTGTCATTATACCGAGCAATGAAAAATTATAGGCATTTTGCATTTACCTTAATGATTCTACTTTGAAATTTCGAAATATCTATCAATATTTATCTGCACATTAAGAAACTTAACATCATCATAAATAGGTTAATAAGATCACCATCATCATCCAGGCCTAATCCCAATTATATGGGCTTCGTTCTATGAACCCTATTTCGAAATAAATTAAGATTTAGGGGTTTTAATCGTTCAGTCCACCCTTAGGGTGGACCTAAGATTTTTAAGGGTTGAATGAATACTGACCGTGGATTGATGCTAATCCACAAACAGGATGAGGTTTATAGGGGGACTCTTATTAGACTAGGAGGTGGCCATAATTTCAGATTTCTGAGGAGTGCAGTCTACTTATCCCTAAGATGATTTAAGATCATCATGAGAGTTTGGCAAAAGCTGCAGTACTTGCCTAATCTGATGCAACACTCTTCCTTTATCCACGCTTGAGATAGATGAAATCAGATTTGGTCCTCACAAGACCATGCTTACACCCTTTGTGCAGTCCTTTGCAGTCTTACATTGGGCATTGGGAATATCTCCCTATAAAAAAGCATACAAGTATGGAAATATTTCCAATACATGGCTGTAAAAGATTGTAAGTGCTTAAAACACTTACCAAGAGAGTTTGGCCATGTTTGGGAGTGCTTAAAAATAAGTGCTTATTTGGGCCGGGAGGCCTGAGACCACACCATTAAACACTTATTGGTGTTTGGGAAATAAGTCCAAAACAAGTGTTTATTTTAAAAATAAGGGTTTATTTTTTTGGCCCAAATTTCCAGCTTTTTTAAGTGCTTATATAATAAGCATTTATTAAATTTTTTTCTTTCAAAAGTTTCCCTATTTGAATTTTAAGAAACCACTTATAGAATTATCCCTAGTTGAATTTTATAAAAGTACTTTCATAAAAGTACTTCGTAAAAATACTTTTATAAAAATAATTTAATAAAAGTACTTTCATAAGGGTATATTTTGAAAATTTAAAAGAAAATGAAGGACAAAATAATTACAAATACTTATTTAAGTGCTTATTAAAAAAGAGACTACCAAACGCCTAATATAAAATAAGGGCTTATTTTTTAAAATAAGCACTTAAAAAAATTAAATGTCAAATGCAAATCTTATTCAAATAAACACTTATTTTTAACATTAACAATCACAAACATGGCCTTAAACTATTCTTTTGATTTTGGTAATTAAACAAACCCCCGACAATGACCAAATAAAATATCATTAACAAGGCTCCATATTGATGTTCAATTTGGACATTGTGCAAAATTTCATTTGCATGTTAAAAAGTGCTTTTCTATATCATCACTAGTGAAAAAGGAATACTAAAAAACAAAGCAAATTAACAAGCAAGTTAAACTAGATGATGATGTCGGTGGCCTCAGAATTGTAAAACAGTGGAAAGTATGATGGAGGTGGCGCCAAATTCTGATGACACTTGAACAAGAATAACTAGATAGAATATAGTTGTTGGCTTGCATCTCTCTTTCAACAAACTTTTTTATAAAACGATGACGTCAATGATATTCTTTCAACGAACCCAAGGATGACAGAGATATAGACCAAGTATGGCCGATTATTTAATAAATAAACTAGCCGAGGAGGGCCACTGCGACTGAATGGAATTGTAACATTATTATTTTTTACATTAAAAAATATAATGATTTCTTAATAAGAAACTTGCAATTATAAGTACTAAGTAATGAAACTCATATAAAGATTTAAAAGAGATCATCATACGTTTGTTTTTTAAATATTGTTTCAAAAAAGCATCATATAAAAGAACATAATCATATAGTGATAGTTCTTAATTCTACTTCATAGTTGTTATTTGTTTCAAATTGAGTCCAAAGCTTCACTTTGAGACGGAGTTAAACATACATGCAATAAAAAAAAGAGATAAAGCATATCGTCTTGTAAGAAAATTAAAGAAAAAAAAACATTACACAAGAAAATCCAAAGAAAAGATAAAAGGG